GAAATTGATCTTATAAACACTTACCGTTGTTATGCAACATTCTTTTTTACTCTACATACCTGCTAAATAATAAGTATCCCCGACAGTGATTTTATGAATACTTACTATTGTCATGCAACATTATTTTTTACTCTACATACCTGCTAAATATCTCCGACAGTGATTTCATGAATGCATACCGTTGTCGTACAACATTCTTCTTTTTAATACTCATCTGTGTAGAAATACGGCCTCTGGCCAGGAATAGTATTTTTCAAAATAGTTATTTTAGAATAGGTATTATAGGGCAGAAGCCCTATTTTACCCATGTTGATGCCCTGCAGATGACACCTCGATTAAATTCTGGATATTTGACCCAAAATAGTAAAAAGAATTCAACGATTTTCTATACTATGACTCACTTTCACATATGCAAAACAATTCAGAGATTAGGTGCGATCACGTTTGTTGTGAACAAGTTGTGAACATATCATAAAATAAACATACCTATTGTATGCGTAGTAAGATACACTGTATACACTGTATATACACTGTATATATACGGTATAGCTCGAAGCTTTTCAAATCATCATGATGTCAGCAAGTGAATTACTTTCCTCGGCTAGGAACTATACGGCTAAAGAGTGGCCATCTGAGATGGCAGTTGCGGTAGATGGGCTCCCAATATTACTTAGTTGTAGCGACGATTAGAGTGATGAGAAAGACGATGTCGATGGCGATGGCGATGGCGAGAGTGATGGTAGTATTAGTGAAAAGGACAGCGACGCTGATAGTGGGATTCTGATGACAGTGAGGAGAGTGGCGATAGTGAAGAAAGTAATAGTGAGGATGGGACGGACTTGTTGGACTACTTGTTGGACTTAGATGTTGCTGAATCGTCGACTTTGATTGGAGACATTATGTGGCTACTGATTATAACAGTAGCAGCTATCATTCCTTTACTAGGAGGCGTTCGATACTATGTTAAGAAAGGGTTTGTGTATAGATACCGGCCGAGTTTCGACGAGGTTGCTGAACACTCCCTCCAGATGAATAGATTTGATAACGATCTTCGAATGACATATGGTCAGTTTATGATATTGAAAGAAGCTTTGACCCCTTCATGCAAACGCGATAAGTTTATGGGGAATCTACGAAACGGTGCAATCGTGGTAGATGTGCAGCTTGCACTAACCCTGCGTAAGCTGGCGGGAGCACAAGCTATAGACTTACAGTATGTTTTCTGCATTCATATCACGACGGTCTATAGTATATTTAAATAAGTAGTACGGGCCATCAATGCACTCACGTCAATAAAAGCGTTGAATTCAAATTTTCCCGCAAGCGACAAAGGCGAGTGTGCTGCAATTGCTAACGGCTTCCGGGCAAGATCTACGTATGGAGTACTACCATTAGCTGACGCCAGTGTGAGAGAATGATTTTTCTCAGGCCATAAGATGGCTATTGGCGTTAATTACCAAGCCATCTGTGATCATCGCTACAGGTTCTTAGCTTTCGCATGTAACTCATACGGCTCCGTGCATGACAAAAGGCTTTTGATGCCTGTGGGTTTAAGGAGCTCATAGAGACTTTGCCCGCCTCTTGTTTTATAGTGGGCGATAATGCATACGAGGGTTCGGACAAGATGTTGGTACGTTGTCCAGGCTCGAAGCTGGGGAAGTGGTAGGACGCGCTTAACCTTTTTCAAAGTCAAACGCGTATGCACGTCGAACAATCCTTTGGGATATTTGTTCGCAAGTGGGGAATTATGTGGCGCAAATTAGAATTTGACATATCAATAGTGCCAATTATCCTAATGTACTTAGCTAAGCTGCGCAGTTATTGTATTGGCCTCGATGAATTTGAGGAAATCACTCCGTTCTATACAAAGGCATGACCTTCTGAATTAGTGAGTACGAACCAAGGCACTTCGGACATATTCAAAAGCGCAACTTCCAACGAATTCCAGTATGCATACCAAATCAATAATAACGGCTGGAGAGGAGCATATAATGAGAATTTTACAACACATGTTTGTTCCTTCACGACTTATTTTGAGCACAATATGACGACCAAATAGCGGGAGTTTGTGTACGAAGAATTAGGGATAAAACGAGATCAGGATTTGGCATTGCGTACTAAGCATCCTGATGTGTCGCTTATGACACATATAGCCGGTAATGTAGAGGAACGAGGGTTAACAATGCCAGATTGGAACAAACGAAGAAATCCAATACACCGATCCAATGATAAGAACACTAACAATAATATGGAATCGTGATCTTACATACATTGAACAATAAACTGAATTGTGTGTGTTTTGATTGTATTTACATGTGTTTAGTAACCTTCAAAGGACGCAGCGTGCGCTGATAGTTCTTTGACTAGACCAGCACGAATAGCCCCAAGGTGTTTGGATTCCTCATCACCCAGTTGATTCATCATCCCGTCGATATTACGCAACTGTTTCATTATGGTCGTTGATTTGCGGAGCTTCACCTTTTTAATCCTTGGCTGAGTTTTGAGTGCCAGGGTACGTTCCTGGCCTGCGACAGCTCTCTCCAAGACTCAAATAATGTAATCAAGGACATCTATATCATCCTGGGTCAACTTTTTCTTTTGGACGTCTTCTTCTTCTTGCGATCGTCCTCTTTCTCCGTTATGGAGCCAACACTGGTGTCGGAAAATATGGCAGATGAGTCGCTGTTGCCAGCAACTGCCGAATCAGAAGTCTCAACCGTGCGCTTGCGACCCTGGGATGCCAGTACTGGATCCACTTGCATTGAAGAAGGAGCGGATGTTGCGCCGAATTCCAAGCATGGATCGGACATCTTACCGAACAACTCGAGAGTGTTGTTGTCGGAGGCATAGGAATACTCAGCCATCTGTAGTGTAATATTTACATAACATTTAGTACAAACACATATACATATACATGCGCATGTACATGCATACACATGAATACATATACACATATGTAAGATTCGGTCTATTAAGGCGATATCAACGCCTTAGAGTAAATAAACGCGTAGGTAAATTCTAAGTATCGTGAAAATATTTAAAGTAAACAAACGAAATGAAACTTTTAGTAAAGTTAGGTATGCCTCGTGAAAACAGCAATACTCTGAGGGATTGTGAGGCTGAGACATTGCCTATATATAATCCTCTCAGTACTGTTTCCGCCGAAGATATTTTATTTAGTGTTTTGTTGTTGCTCTATTAGAAACTATGGTATGTTTCATTGGGGCGAATCTGAGAGACTCATAAAATCCTATCTTTAGAAAAAAATATAAAATGAAAAGGAAAAATACTCTTGATGTCCTTAGTTATTGTCTTAACCAATAACTTGCCACTTATCAAGAATTACCGACTTAGCCTTCATCAGACTGGCACATCTGGTTGGCTGATAGGAGGATCAACTAGGTAACGCTAATAGTCCCTAGAAACCTATATTCGGTTGAGCCATCTCGCTACCGAAGTATTCAAATATAAATATAGTTGGAAAGTGAATATAGTTATATTTATAGAACTAGACCAACTCTTATGTTTGGTATTTTACTGGGGCCTTTTAATGGCCTCGTCCAAATATCTGATATGTAAAATGGAAAAGGTATTCACTAATAAAACCATTAAACCCCATTTAGGATAATTAAGTTCCTCGTACTATTAAGAGTACGTTTATAATTTACGTACTGCTTAAGAGTACGTTTATTACATAGAGTCTAATGTGGAGGCCCAGCTTTGAGACCCATGAGAAGCAAGTTGCTCACTCAAGCTGATTATGGGTCAAAAAGCGAGAAAGGAAAAACGGGTCGAAAACATTAAGTAGCATAACATATAGTTAATGTTTCTCAGGCGGAGAAGTTAAGCGTTCTCGGTTACCCTGTGAGTTTTGGGCTTAGGTCCAGTAGGTCCGTGTTGGTCGACTGGACGTTTCTTACGCTTCAGTGTCTTATGCACATATGAAGGGTGAGCATTAAAGCTCGGGATAAATGCTGTGGGCGGATAAGTGTTGACTTCCGTGCCTTCAGACGATGGAAACATGCTATCTTTTTCAGCTTGTGACTTATGCAGGCGTTTACGCCATTTTCGATTTAAGACTTTTAAATAGTCTTGATATTGTACCGTCCATAAAGTGTGTACGATAGTACGTATAGCCTGCCTCCCTTATCCGTACTCCATATAATGTCTTTAAAGTCAGAACGATCAAGAGGGGTATTAGAATCATGTCTTCTTGCGAGTATAATCTTTGTAGTCGGAATACGACTTGTGCCTATATTAAGCGCACTAGAACTATCGGGGTTATTTACCTCGTACGTTCCACTTTAGTGTCTGCTACAAAGATTATATATGGACCTATCCATTTAGATGGTAGTACAGTAGCATCGGAATTACGTTGACGGATGTTAACTCTGTCACCTACCTGATACTCTGCTATCTTCTTGGTAGTGTTCCAACGCTTTTGCATTTTTAATAAGGCTATATTGCGTATTTCTCGCAAGCAAAGATATACAACGTTATAAATACGTTGTACCTTCTCTAACCATGGTAACTCATGGTGATCAGGTTCGTCCTTGTTAAAGGGTATTTGTAACTCACTATACCTGCCACGAAAATAGTTAGCGGGTGTAGTTCCTGTAACCGGATCAGCACACTCGTTCATATGTGTTTGTACCCACTTAAGGTGGTACGGCCAATCATCTGCATCATCCGTTAATGCAGTAAGCAAGAAGAACTTAAGTCTTCTATGGCGCGTTTTATTCGCGCCTTGCGTTGGCGGCTTATATGGCATACCTCTTTAATGGCATATGCCTGATACGAGTACTAGCGATTCCATTACGTCATCACAGAACTCACTCCCGTTATCAGTTCACATGATACCTGGCCACCCGTGGTCAGCAAAGACTTGGCAACGTAATTCTGCTACGGTCTGCGTATTCTTATCCTTGAATGGATAGAGCAAGTTAAACCGTGACGCCACATCAAAGAAGTGGCATACGTAACGGTCGCCTGTGTGCTCGGACGTGGGCAGGTCAACCAGATCAATGATGACCCTGCGCCATGGAATATCTTCAGTCACACTCTTAAGCGGTGCGAACCCATAGCGCTTGATCTAATTGAGATCACAGTCTGTACATGACTGATATACTCTGTCAACTAAAGTTACCAGCTTAGGGTGCGCGATCCCATTTCGCTTAGCATCTTTAAGTGCGTCTACTACGTTCTGGTGCTTCAGCTTATGGTTTTACGTCAGGCAAGCAAGAATGTTTTCACCAATCTGCTCCTCCAGAATAAAGGTAGGGTGTTGAGAATCCACTTGCGTGGTCTCAAGTCTGTAGTGTTTCCAGACTCCTGTCCTACTTTCGCATGAGTGTCATAAGTGCGCTCATGTACGTTAGATACACCTGACCTATTAAATAGTCGCATTATATGTGTATACGCTTCAGGATTGTCTTTCATTAATACCTTTAGAAATAGGGTTTGAAAGACCTCGAGCTTGGACTTTATGTTATTAAACAGAGTCCTAGCAGAGACTGACGCTTCTTAACTTTGATGAAAGGCGTCTCCCAAAGGATGATTTAGAGTCCTGTATTTCGATAGTTGTGCATTATGATATGCAGCAAACATATCTATGGTATGTGGCCCAAATATCTTTTGAGCCAGTTCAAACCACCTGGGATTACACTTCCAGTCAGTGGCTAAGAACTCACGTACGGATTTATTAAAGACCGGTACGAAGCGTGATAACATATCCGGTAAATGGTTATGTATTCCTGGCAGATGTTTTAAATCAAAATAAAACTTTGATATTGTATCATGCCAGCGACTCAGTAATTGTGAGTCGGGTTTCATCTCTTTCATATATTGAAGAGATTTCTGATCACACATCAGCGTAAATGCTGTTCCGTATAAGTAATCTCGGAAGTCTGTTAGAGCTGCCACTATGGCTAATAGCTCTTGTTTAACAGTTGGGTAATTCAACTGTGAAGCATTCATTGCTCGACTAAAGAATTGTATATATCTAGGTTTGTTATCTATAACCTGATATAATACTCCTCCTAAGGCTAAGTCGGAGGCGTCCGTTGCTATTTCAAACGGCACGCTATCGACCGGTCCTTGTACAACAGGGGCTTGCTGGACTGCGTGTTTAAGCGCTTTAAATGCGTCATCACACTCTTTAGTCCATAAGTCTCCTAGTTTGCCTTTATGACATCTTAAGTGTACAAAAGGTTTAAGGTAATCAGCTAAGTGTGGTACTCCATCTGAAAAGAAGTTTACAAACCCGCACATGCTGTTAACATCGCTTCCTGTAGTTGGTGTTCGCCAATCTAACAGGTGTTCTACCTTACCTGGGTCGATTTTAATACCTTCCCCAGATATTCGGTAGCCTAAGAGCTGTATTTCGCTCATGGCGAAGTGACATTTCTTCTCGTTAATCTTGAAGTTTTGCTCGCTGAGTCTCTTAAGGACTCGTCTGACTAATGCGGCGTGTTCGACATTAGTTTTGGAAAAGATGACTATGTCATCTATGTAGACTTGCACGTTAGGCATGTCTGCAAACATTTCTTCCATTACTTGTTGGAAGAATGCTGGTAAAGAGTGTAACCCAAAAAGTGCACCTCTGAACCTGTATTGTTTACCTTTCCACGTAAAACTAAAGTATTTACCTTGTGGTTCATATACCTGCATTTGATGGTATCCTTGTGTAAGGTCTATAGTTGTAAATACTGTAGCACCTTCCCTCCTTCGCAGTAGCTCGTTAATACGAGGTAAGTGAAAGCTATGAGTCGGCAATAATTTATTTATTGGACTCATATCTAAACATACTCTGACTTTCTTAAACGATCCGTCAGAGTTATGTTGGTCTACGGCTAGCAGTGCCAAGTTAACTGGCGTCTGTTGATAGTTAATTTTTATCACTCCATCTGCTAGCCATTTCTCAACTTGTTCTTTTACCACAGCCTCGTGTCTCCAGGATACATAGTTCCTTGAGGGACACTTTAACTGTGTAAAGTCCACCTTGGTTAAGTCAAGGCTGACATACCCGTCGTTAAAACGGAATTTTGCCCAATCTGTGATCTTTATCTTCTTATTAACTAGAATCAGATCCATGATTTTGTTCGCAAAGTCAGGTATTAATGCCTTGACTGTGTCTGACGGGGGCTTATATGGATTCAGACAGTTATCGTCTGACTGATCCTTTAATGGATCTATGTTATTTGGTAGACCAGTTACGGTTATACCTAGAGTGGGTAAATCGCTCATTCCGACTATAATGTCGTACTTCTGTGACATCTTAACTATCACAGCTTGGGTAGTGATACTTCTATCATCGGCCAGGGAGATTTTAACATCTGTGGCCATGGTATCACACTTAGAAGTTTTATCATCAGCTAAAATGAGGTGAGTTGTTTGTGTTCTCCTTTCGATATCTTTCATTAATGTAAAGCGATCGGATATACATGAAATTTCTGAACCAGGATCAATCAACGCAAGGATTTTATTTCCATTGCAGTATACAGGGATTATTACACGCTCATCTAAAGAGTCGTTGTATTGTTTGTGTAACGATTGTACTTGGTAGTACCTTCACTCCAATTTAATGTTGGGCTTTTAGACTTAGTGTGATAGCCATTGGTCTTCTCACACTTGTCGCAATTAATAATAAGGTGTGTACAGGTGGATGCATGTCTACCATTCCAATAACCGTTCGGGGTTAATTGGTACATGTCATACCCACACTGTGCGCCGGCACATTTCTTAATCTCCTTAAATGGAGGTTCCTTGTCCTTCGCCTCCGCACGTGTCCGTTTATTGGGTCGCGTGGATACAGTGGAGTCGCGAGCACGTGTAAGTTGGGGTCTCTCGTTTGAGGTCTGCTTGG